ACTTTGGATGGGGTGTATGTGGGGCGTGAGTAAGGGGGAGGGTTTCTTGAGAGGATGGCTTTGGATTTCTTCATTTGAGCCTCAACTTTGAGAGCCAACTTAGTAAGCTCTTCAAAAGTAGTGTAGCTTTGCATCTCCACCGTATTGGCTATTTGAGTGTTTAATCCGAAAAGGTACCTCACAAAGGTTTGCTCCTCGTTTTCTTGCAAGTCACACCTTAGCAAGAGCTCTTCGAATTCCCGAGTATAATCCTCCACTGATTTTGTACCTTTCCTAAGCGTTTGAAGCATAGCAAAGTTGTCTCGTGAGTATTCGGTGGGCAGGAACTTCTTCTTCAGAAGACTCCTCATCTTTTGCCAAGAATCAACGGGGGGCTTCTCACTTCGAACTCGTTTGGTGGTGGTATTCGTCCACCAAGTAGAGGCATACTTTTGGAACTTTAAGGCCACGATCTTGACCTTCTTCTCATCAGAGATTTCCATGAAATCAAAGACTCGTTCCACCGTTTCTAACCACTCAAGAAATTCATCCGGATCATTCTTTCCTTCAAAGATTGGAATATAACCTTTGAAGTCAGAATGGGACTTTTCATGAGCCCTAGCTCTCATGGTGGCACTAGAGCTAGCTTCCTCTTCATCTTCACTATCTCGTAGCATGGACATCTTTTCCTTTGTGAGGTTAGCCACTTCTTTGGCTAGGTATTCCACTTGAGCTTGCAAGGCAGCGTTTGCGGCTACGAGTTCTTCATGAGACATGCTTTGGGATTGGTTTGACATGGTTGATAGGAAAAGGGATGAAGTGGGAGTAGGGATTAAATGTGGTTAGGCCGAATTTAGGGAGGGAGTTGGGGAAGTGTGTATGGTCCTTGAGAGATGAGCAACAACTAGCTTTGATACCAAATGATGTACCCAAGCTTAGGAAAAACTATGGATAAATAAGGGCAGATTATAGAGCGGAATATATGGTGAAGAATAGGTAGGATTTGTGTATGAAATGGTGAAGAAAGTATGGTTGTTTGGAAGAGGTGATAGGGCAGAATGAAGGGCAGGAGAAAAGCAATATTATGGAGTGGTTTTTTGATGAAGAAATGAAGTGTTTAAATGGGATAAAGGGGGTGGACGAAATTGGGAGAGAAAGAGGGAGTTCTTTTGTGGTTTTTGTTGTATAAGGATAAACCAAATAATGAATAAGAGATAAACACTCTTATTTTATTTGGGGCTGTTTCTTTTCACACAATAATATTCACTATTATTATATGAAATAGACTCCTAACACACACTCAAAAGTAGCCAACTTTAGAGTTATTTCATTAGGAAATTGAGAGAATTAGCTTCACACCAACTCAAATATTACTTCAACGAGTAAAGAAATGGAATACAATGAATGAGTTTTACAAGGCCATAGGGCCGAAATATATAGGGAAAACAGCAAGGAAACTTCACCACTCTTTCCTACAATTCAAGTGCATAATGTCTATTTGATGGATCCCATAGGTTGTCCTCATTGATCAAGGCTAAAAGGGGCTCATGGTGGTGAAATGGGTTGTCTTTGGGTGGGGAAATTCGGCCATTTGAAGGGTAGGGTGAGGGAATGTGTCATTTTGTCCATTTATGCAAAGTAAGGTATGTGACACATCAAGGGATTGGTTGTTTATTCCTTTCGCCTTATTATAGGTTTGAGAAGTGATTTGGGGGATGTATGGGGGGAGGAATTCGGCCATGGGACAAGGAAAGTGAGGGGGGATTGTTATACCCGGGCCTGGCCCTATCAAGCATTATGATCCGTTTTAGTGAGAATTCCGAGTCCTTCAACCCAAGAGGCCAGGATAGCTTCGGACCCGAGGGTTCCACAGGACAACCCCCACTCTGTCCAACCCAACCCAAAATATCCAAAACTCCTTGCCATTTACTTCATTTCAAAATAAAGTTTTTTCCTACTCTTATTTAAGCCCCCGGCAAAAAATAAGGTTGTGTAAAATAAAACCTTTTGTTTGTTGTTATTTTTCTTCTTTTAAGCCTTTTGTTCAACAAATAAAACCCACCCTCTATTCCATTCACCCCTGGACAAAATACACTTCACAATCCCAACATAAACACCCACAAAGAGCCAAAACCCGGACCCACCACTAGCCACTCATTCCTGCCCATATTCCCTCACAAATAACCCAAACCTATAAGTCCAAAACCACCCATTATAGCCCCCATCCCTGCCCCCTTTTCTCAGCAAACACAACCTCTCATTTTACCGAAATAATAGCCTTAAAAAACCAGGAAACAACCACTACAAACCAAACCTCAAAACCCCACAACCCCAGCCCCATCTCTGATTTTTATTCCACTTTGGAGACATGATTCAATGGGTATTATCCCATGTTTTTGAAATAGTTGCTTCCAG